CAATTATTCAAGTATGAAATACCACATGTGAATTTTAATAGTTTAAGCTTAAAATGAGATTGCATATGATTATATAAATATTTTCTTAATTGACAGCATGTTGAAAAAAAAAAAAGCATTGAGTTATGTATCACTACATTATTCTTCTTATGCAAAGAGTTATTTTAGATGCCTTTTATATCAAGTTATGAAGCATGCAATGATCAGTCAATCATTAAATTAAAAAATTTTAAAACATAATGAATATCATATTAGTTGAAGATTGACAATGAAATATTATCATACGTGTGCATGTGGAACAAAAGGGATCTCGTTGGAGGCAAAATGGACCTCAATATAGTTCAATAGTGATAAAGCGGGGTTCTACATGGGCTCCATTAAACATTATTATAACTTATAAAATCTAACTCCATGCTATATAAATGATTAGAACCTGAAATAATTAATTATGATATTATTTACAGGCTTCAAACAACTACAAGATCTTTATAAGTTTAAGTGCAAAGTGTGATATGTCTACCAATAATACTGTAACAAACCAGTTGTTATTACTAATTCAATTGGTCATGTATATTTTTTTAATCATTTTGTTGTTTATCTTATGAGTTAGTTCAATTATTAATGAAATTATAGTGTTTGCTACTGTTAATTGAATTCTTTATTAGAATTGAATATCTTTCATAACTTCATAGCTCATCAGATTTTATTCTGACTATTGTTATAGGAACGGACAAGGATAAGATGGAAACATATTGGCATCAGATTAATATAAAACTTTATAGGGAGATTTACAGACGTACCACTTAATACTATTCTATTTACATATTTAACACCTAAAACTTTAATATTATATACATATCACCCATAGTTCATTTTCATATCAAATATGTGTGGTAGAAATGAAATATATGAGTGGAATGAAAGAAATATAAATGGTATATTTGATATTAAAATAATATAGGGTGGTATACATGTAATATTAAAGTTTTAAGTGTTAGATAGATAAATAGGATGTTATAAAGTGGTATGTATGTAAATTTTCCAACTTTATATTTTGATGTACATCTATGTAAGTGAATTTACAACAGAGATATATAGATTGTTTATTATTATAATATTTTCAGATTCTTCCGTTTATATATATATATATATATATATATATATATATATGAGTTTTAAATATTAAAGAATTTGATATTTTCTCTGTTGCACCCTCCATTGATGATCGGGGGGTGATGTGGGTTGTGACAGATTATATGTAACCAAAGCTATTCAAGTAAACTCAAAATCCTGTTTGAGTAGGGACTACAGCAACTTAGCAAACGAAGATGACCACTATGTGCATTAAAAATTCATATTTATACAAGAGCTCTATCCACACATCATGAGATGCAATACAAAATTATATGTTCTCAAGTAAACAAGGCATTTTACCATGCTATGTTCGATTGGTTGTGTTTTGAATAAGCCACAACTCCAAGGGTTTTAATTCCTGGCTAGCTCGATCTTATATCTCATCTAAGAGATACAAAGAGAGTGAAATTAATTAAAAAGTGGCTTTAGATCATCTTAGCTTTTAAGGAAAATCTATTCCTGGATCAAATTTTTTTAAGTCTTTTATCAATTTATTAAGGATGAAAAAAAAAATTATTCTAAGAGCTTATTGCAATATCATTTATATCTTAGTCAAACAAAACATTAATAAAGAGATAATATATTATAAAAGTACTTTAAAGAAACTTTAAGAGCAAATAAAACATCATGCTGCTATTGATATAAAAGAATAAAGAATAGGCTATTGAAGTCGGGTAGGCCGACATATATATGCTCTTAATTTAAATAGAAAAAGAATTTGATTTTTTAGTAACATGCTCATATGCATAAATCTAAACAAAAATAGACATGATAAAAAACTATAAGCTTTGGAGTCCTCTTAGCTCCTAGTCTTTATCACCTTATTCAAATATACACACAAGTTTAAACTAAAAAATAGATTGCACAATATGATATACATCATACAACATGATTTCTTCAAGATTCTCTCAATTAACGCAAATTGATTATCCTTATTTTAGTGAAAAAATAAAGATTATAATATATAACAATTACCACTATAAAGTACAATTAATTCAAAATTTAACTCTTAATTAATGATATAAATTGATCTTGGTAAAATATTTTTATATTAAGATACATACAATATGATATCTATTAGGTTAACAATTAGTATCTCCAATGTCTTTCTCATCCATAGCAACATTTTGCTCCTTCAATCTCTTGGTCTTCACATTAAGTTCCATGATTGTGGAACCTAAGGTGAACGTAAATCCAATAGATTTTTAAAAACTTTAATGCATTCTCTGGAATCTACATTTTTGTCACAGTAATAGTATGATAAGATCAATATTAGTGTGATTATTCTACATCAGCAAGAGCTCTACTTCAGTGATATATCAAAAAGGCCCCCTTAGGGAATCTTTCTTGAGATTCCTCACTCGGCCTTCTCAGGAATTCCTCTTGGGTAATCTTCTCAATACATCCTCTTGAGGAGCTACCTTTATAGGCCCTCGAATTACCTCAAGAACCCTTATGCGTCTCTCATTAAGTCATTCTACTTCTTATATTCCTCCTCTATTTCTTCTGCCATCTACTTCTCTTAGTACAATGCCTACTACTTCTATCAGTTCAACTCCGGTTCCACCACCAGCTACTACAGTGCCCACCCAGACCAATTCTCTATCTACATTTAACATGGAACAAACTACTGTTACATTGCCTCACGTTGAGTCTGCTCACAACTCTATTTCTAATGCTGCCGCTTTGCAACATACACATAAAATGGTTACAAGATCTCAAACACTTTCAATCTGACATCTTATACTCAAGCTATTAAAGATGCAATTTGGTGAAATGCTATGTCACAAGAATTTAAAGCTCTCCAATCTCAAGGCATTTGGAAACCTTTTGCTCGTACACCTCAAAAAAATGTTTTGGAAGCAAATGTATTTTTAAAACAAGCTAAACTCGGATGGGAGTGTGGCTAGACACAAAACTAGACTTGTCGCTCAAGGATGTCATCAAGAATATGGTTTAGATTATATTGATACATTTGGTCCAGTTGTAACGACAAAGTTTAAATGGAATATTATGTAGTTGGATTTGTCAAATGCCTTTTTACAAGGTAAAGTATAAGGTCTATATGTCTCAGTCTTCAGGATTTCAAGATTCTCAGTATCCAAATAAAGTTTGGTTGCTCAAAAACTCAGTATGTGGCTTAAGAAAATCACCACGTTGATGATTTGAAACCTTTTCCAGTTATCTACTGCATTTTGGTTTTCAACAAAGCTTTGTCGATCCCTCTTTATTATTTTATCATAAGAACTCAACTACTATATATATGCTCATTTATGTTGATGATATTCTTCTTACTGAGAATGATGAGCAACAAATTCAGCAATTACTCTCAGGCTTATACACGAACTTCAATATGAAAAATCTTGGTACTATTTAATACTTTCTTGTAATGCATGTGACATCACTTGCAAACAGTTTACATCTCTCAAAATCTGAATATGTTGCCCACTAAACTGAATTCTAATGAACCTTCCTTGGTGCCAGCTTCCACTCTGGACCAATAAAGACATAACATGGGTTTTTGCAATATTTAACCATCGTGAGTCAAGATATTGCATATTCAGTTAATAAATTTTGTCAGCATATGTATCAACCAAGGGAAATCGATTATAAAGTTCTCAAACACCTTATTAGATACATCAAAGGTAATTTGTTTTTCAATCTACCTATTATCCTGGAAATCTAACGCTCTCTACTTATTCTGATTCTGATTGGATTGGAAACTCAACTCATAGAAAATCTACTATTGTATTTTGTGTTTATCTTGGAAATACACTGACTATATGGAAAATTAAGAAACAAAAGACAGTTGCTCTATCCTCTACAGAAGCAGAATATAGAGCTTTAGATACATAAGCTAAAAATCTCATTTGGCTACATCGGCTGCTTCACAAATTTCAGCTACCCTCCTCTCCTACTCCTTTATATTTTAATAATATCTTTGCAATTGCTCTGACCAATATTCCTATTTTTCATGCCACCACTAAACATATTGAAATTGATTTTCACTTTATTAGAGATTGCATTAAAAAAAAATACTATTATCATTCATCATGTGCTACCAAATATCATCTTGCAAATATTTTTATAAAATCCTTACCTATTATGAAGTTTTTACCGCTACAAACAAGTTAATTATATCTAAGAAGATAGTTAACTTGCATGAGGGTGATAAGCAAGCCTCCTAGTCTAGATAAGTGTTTTCTCTAATTTCCTCATGTGGCCACTTACTCTGATGATTGCATTCTGCTACCTTTTTCAGCATTTATTTCTCACCATTGATATGTAACGGAATCATCTAGGCCCTTGCTTCAGCGTCTAACTGATGTATATATTCTGGTACTATTTTTATTGAAACCATGGAAATGAATATAGAAGTTATCCTCATCTTCTCTGCTCTATTTCAATTTGCTGTTTCAGTTTCATTAACCTGCTGCAGGTAGTAGCTGGTATAATTGTTAACACTTGGAAGATATCAAGTTCTTCTCCATGCCACTGAATAAAATGAGCAAACACAATTCCATATGCCTTCTAAAGCAGATAGGGATAGCAGCCTAGCAAGCACAATCAAATTCTAAAACCTCCATTAAACAGCGTACAACATCCAGCAATCAATCTCACAGAGCAGCTGCTCCACTGTAGAATTTATAATATTGGATCAGCATTTTAAATATATAGAGAAAGAGCAATTCATAATGACAATATAGAGTTAGCATCTCAAAGATTTGAGCTTTGCTTCTTTAATAACCTCTGATTCAATTGTCAACAGATAAATAACAAAGAGAGAAGAACCTGAGCTTTAATGCTGAACTTGAAATGCTTTCATCAAAAGCTTAAAAATGTAGCCTAGCTAGTACAGGTAAGAAAGATTAATAAATGATCATAGCTCACAGCCTCGTAATTCTATTGTTTCTTGACACATGTTATTAATCTGTACTATTTTATACTCTTCTGATATGAATGATTTGCACCGCAATATCAATTCAATACATAATGAGGTACACTTTCTTACTAATTTCTCCAAACTCTAAATTTAACTTACAAATCATTTATAGGTGTAAAATTAAAACGAATAAAAACAGTGGAAACCCCGCTCTCCATCTATACAGTTCCTCCCTTTCCACTGCTTCCTAATTCCTTAAAATAAAAAAAAAAGAGAAATTAAAAGCACGGCATAACAGAAAAATCAACTAATCGAAAAAGGAAAAAAGGAACTCACAAACCCTAGTTGCAATCGACCTTAAGATCTGACGGCGGTAGAAAATAATCCATCGCAAGGCCATGTAGATTGAAATCAGCCTCCTCAATCGTCCAACACTCCTCCAACCGGCGCTTATGATTAACCGATCCCTCACCGTATCGGAAGAGAGTGACGACGGTTCGGCCACTGTGAGCTATATTGATGCCATCAATGTATCGATAGTCGTCAATGATGGATTCCATAGAAGTCTCCCAGAAGATGGAAGAATCGTTGTTGATGCTGTTGCAGCTGATCTGAGTGGAGGCGGAGGTGCGGCCGCAGCTGGACTTCATACGGAGGAGATGGGAGTCTTCCAGCTGCATAAGGAGGCCAGTGCGTTGGCTAAAGTAGCCCCATACGGTGTGGCGGATAATGTCGAAGCTGGATGCGCTGCGGGATTTGAGGACATTAGCGCTGACTTCGAGCTTTAGAATGAAGCATTCCTCGCCGTTTACGATTTTTTCGCCGATACAGACTGCGTCGACGAAGAGATTAGCCGTTGAGCGCGGGTCTAGGCCCTGTAGCATCCAGTAGTCAGAATACAGTGCATCACATTTCAAAGTTAAAGAAAATTTCCAAAAAATAGTTAAAAGAAAAAAAAAATTAAAAAAATCTAAATAATTTGTATGCCACTTTAATATCTAAATTTTTAATTTATAAATTAAATTAATATATATATAATCTATGAATATAGTGTTAGTTTTTTTTTTCTATATGCATAATAACTAGACTTCATTTTAGACAAATTTTTTTTTGCTTTCTAAATTAATTTTTTTTGTATAAATTTTTTTGTGCTAAAAAGCTGATTTAGAAATCAATTAAAAAGTTATTCTGCCCACCAAAATAGATTAGAGTAAGTATATAATTGAGTTAAAATTATTTTTAAATTGGATTGCACTCAATTTCATAAATGACTCAAATGCTATGCTTAATAATTTAAAGGAACAATTTTTAATTAATTCTAAGATGACCTTAGAGATTTCTCTTTCAAAATTATTAATGTAAATTTATTTAAAATCTATTAGAATTCAAGAATTTAAGTATAAAATTACTAATAGTATTTAGAGCATTTCTCTCCTACATGAATTAATCATTTTCTTATTTTTATCTCAGGAGACAAGTTTCCTCTATCTACTAAAATATACATATGATAAACCATATTTAAAAAAAAATCATGATGTAAGTCAACATCATTTTATTAATGTCAATGGTCACTGATATAAAGGCTTCATGCTCAAGTTTGTACTCAATTTATTAATGTCATGCATAGATTTCTTAGAGCAAATAAAAGTTAAAGAGGATTCTCCATCTCTATTAGATGAAAGGGAATTTTCAACTAAGGTGTAGAAATCAGTAAAGAAGTAAGATATATTAGTTACAATTCAAAGAAATGCTCATGTTACATGCTAAGAAATTGGCAACCTCAAGTATTTTTTTAGATTAGGAACCTAATTGTAACTCATATACAATTTTGACGTTAGATTAAAAGACCATTGAAAAGGTCAATAAAAGCTCATTAGGTATGTAATCAATGAGAAGTCTCCGTTAGATTTTATTATAATTTGAATCCAAATATGTTCATATCGAATATGAAGAGAGACAATGATATTGATTTATCATATAAGTAGGATTGGGGGTACCGTGAAAAAGCTATCATTAATGTAAGAGGGTCCACCAAAATATCATTTCCGAAGTTATCTTCTTATTTAGATGTACCACACGAAAAAAAATTGAAGGATAATCTTCAACATTATGGTAAAAAATATTTCAATTATGCTTAATTTTCTTTGGTTGTTTATATTCAAGGCTTCAAAAGTACATGTCAGCCTACATTAAGTGTGAATTGAACAATTCTAGATATATGATAAATTCGCCTAATAATATTTACAATAATTAACTAAAAAATCTTAAGTTGCATGTTTATTTTATAACCAGAGTAAGGAGGTCAATATAATTTGTTAAAATCTTAGTGTTTATTTATAATAGACATAATAGTATTGCCAATGATTTATCACATCTTTCTAAAGGCATATTATAGAGCTTATAATCATCATGTAGGAATGAATATCATGATAAAGTTTAAAATTATTTGCTTTTATGAGAAATATGAGTTGACTTTCAAGGCTTATATAAGAGTTAAATTATATATAAATGTGACAAAATGCATGTTAAAGATTCAATCATAACTACTCTCTAAAGAATAAAGTTAGCTTGGATCCCTAGAACCTATTCAACTTAATGATTAATGATATTGTTGATAGCTTTAATAATATTAGCAATAATGCATGTTCCAATCCACAACTTTTTTTTTTAGAACACAATATAGAAATAGCTCTTAGATATACACAACATTGCTTTGAATGTAAAAACAATACTGGCTAAAAAAAAAAAAATGCATCAGGAAAGTTCCTATATAAGGCTGTAAGTTTGATTTTCTGCCCCATTACTAAACTTGAACTACATGTCCATGATAATTACCTTAGTGGTGATTTTGAATTGTGGGAACACACATGTACATGCAATTTTGTATCGATATTAGCAGGGGTGGAAATCTTTGTTATATTATTCTTTAGATAATTTGTCTCATATATATCTATTTTTTAGTCTTTATTATAAGGGTCTTCAGACAATTCCCCCAGCAAATAGTAAATAGAATTCATCATTTTATTTATTAATTTGAATTCCAAAAATATCCTTACAACGAAAATTTGTTCCAAGGACGCTGCCCCCTTGGACCTCCGATATATTTATGAAGCGTACGACGATTAAGGATATGAACAAATAGGGGTCGTTATTTACCCATTTTCTTGTAGTGAATGGTCGAATCAAATTTGAGGCAACACCAACAGCTACTTATAAGTATTGAAAAAGTACATGGCCATTGAGGAAAGATCCTGGCTTTAAGTGTTGAATCAGAACTTAGGGCATCACAAGACACAAGCATGACATAGAGAGGGTTGTAGCAAGAAAGAGAGAGCGGCAAGGTCGCGATCCAGCCGATGAGTAGGAAATCAAAGATTTGAAGTTTGATGCAAACCTATTGTGAAATGCAATATATTATGCATGAGAGAGAAGACTAGCCATATTCATAAGCTTCACGGTTCGGTACCTTTGCCGATTTAGTGGCTTTGGCTACCCGGCGAACCAATTGGGGAGGAGGCCGTATGAAGGAAAAGAGGGAGAAGTGATAATATCTCATAATTTTTCTTTTTCACCCACTTGATTTGGGTAAACTTCAATATCTTAAATATGATTTGTGCAGTATGATTTCTTCTAGGTGAATATATGTTTATTATTTTTATAATTAAGTATGATTTTTGTAGGCCTTGTATGTGTGTGTTGTTTTATTTATCATATAAAATTTAGAGATTTTGAGCATTTGAATCTATGTTTTCTTTTTATTACATTCATTTAAATCTTATAGGTTTAATAATTATTAACTTATCAAGTTTAGCACTCAAATCTATAGCCTAGATCGATGAGCTTGCCATAATGTAATGATTATACTTATATTATTTAAATTTAAGTCAATAATTGCATTAGCAATAGTTTATATTAAAGAAATCAAAATTTTATGGTTTAGGAGAAGTCATTTTATATATTGATGAATTGGTTACATGTATATGTATGTATATTTTAGAGCTAATATTTAATCAAATATAATCTTTATGATGATTGATTCTTAAAGAGTTGCTAAATATTTTATTTGGGTCGTGGTGAAAGATATTTACATAAAAAACTATTAAATAAAGCATTTAAATTTGAGATCACTATGAAGAATAACTTAGGCTGCAAGGTTGAATCCTTTATTTCAAAAAGATGTTTAAGTGATTGTTGCATTATTTAATATTTTGATGTATGATATATTGAATATATGATTAATTTAGACTCTTGTGGAATTAGGATTTGTTGAACACCAAGTGTTGGAACGGGAGGAACTTCATCATGGTTGGAAATTTCAACTGCTTATATCCTCTAATTGGTAGATGACTGTTTATTGAGTAATTAAGTAATAAACAAAACTTTCCTTGTTAGCGGTCAAGCCCTTGCTACTCGTTGTATGTGAATAATATGTTTGGTAAGATGTAATAATTCATTCACAATATTGCATGTTACTATTTTGGCATGATTTGATAATTAGCGTTGTCATGTTGATTGTTGCATAATTTTCTGAATAATTCGCATACTTTATCCTGATTGCTCTGAATAATTATTGTTTATGCAAATCATATATATATATATATATATATGAGCTTAATTATTATATACATTTATTAAGCACTATTATTGTAATACAAGCTTGTGTGTTTGTTGCTTGTAAATGTTGATATTTAATCCTATTGGATATTGGCTAGCTGGGACCAATGTGTCCTAAGAATGAAAACTTTATAGGAAATCATTGAATTTCCTTGGGATTGGTGCTTACCATTTCTGGAAGGACATTGTTGTAAACAAACTATACATATTTATATATAAACTAAAATATACAAAGAAAAATAATAAATGACTAATGAGTCATTAGTGGATGAATAAATATCACATACTTATAAGTGAATGAGTTTGCATTTGAAAGCAATGATTATTAGTTGACAAATATTTTTTATGAGTTATACTAACTTTTATAAATGAAGTATGTACATTCAAAAAATCTTATATCATATATATTGTTGCTATTGCTATTTATGTTTTTTTCTTTGCTCATATTTATGCTCATTCCTTGTTGTTTATATTTTACTTAGTGGGGTCATGAGTTCTTTTCTTGCAAACTCACACACATTGTTTCATAGTTTCAGGTTTGCTAGTTTGGACTGCTTCTAATGGAACTTCTAAGTTCATCGCATGTACCACCAGGGCGCCGCTATTGAACCTTTGGTCTACCATCGCCGTCAGACCTCCATATGGAAGCCACTAACGAGCCTTCCTCCAATCACTATCACATGTCGACTATGTATAGTCCATCTGACCACTGTCACCCGCTGACTATGGTCCCTACAACAATTGTTGCTAAGCCAACTATAGTACTTCCGACCTCCATCGCTCACCGACTACGGTCCATCTGACCATCGTCATTCAACTACAACCATTTTGATCACCATCATCCAACTACGATTGCACAACTCTATGGACCACACAAACATGCCCGTACTCTCTTAAGAACATCTGCTACATTGTTCTCTAACTGTGTAATGTGCTCTAAATAATGTGTATTTGCTACATTGAGCTAGCACCCATGCCTCCTTCGATGAAGGGTATAATTTGTAATCAACCACCATCACTAGTGGAATCTGTTCGACTGGGCAATACCCCATGTTTTTCCCATCTTTTTGGAGTTTTCGCAAAAAAATTCGGATGTCTTTCATAACTGTTGCACCTCTCTATTCGTGTTATATATTTGTACAAGATTAGGATGCTAAGCTTTATGTTTCTCTTTTCGACTTAATATTCCAGGATGCAATAGTTTTCTATGATATTGACTTTTTCCGGTAAGATGATTATTTCTATAAAAATTGAAAAGCAACGTCATTGTTAACCGAACCTGTAGAGATCTCCGGAGAGGACGCGGCGGGCCACGGGAAGCGTGAGATTGCTCCGAGGTGGACTGGCGCCAGGCATGCTTGCCATTACAGCCTGCGCTCATCTTACAGCCGGCCATAATGAGCTCGAAGAACCAGAGCTCGGGGTTCTTCTGCCATAACACGAAGCCTCCGATCTCGCCTTTGCCATTCCTTGTTATGGACGGAGGAACAGCGGCCGAGTTGTCGTTGCCCATGTGGAACTCCGACGAGCTCATCCGCACCTTCCCAACTGCATACATACTCTGCACCGACGTCAATGCCGACTGCCCGCCGGTCGCCGCTATGTATTGCTGGAGTATGTACTTCGCCGTAGAGGCTTGCTGCACATATAAACATGTGGTTTTTCATTTATCGTATAGATAAGCATGGCATTGGTAATATTATATTTTAATTAAATTTGACAATTCAGCTGTGACGTGCATGTGATGTATCAGTATTTACAAGTTCTGTAACTAGGGAACATATTATTATGTATTCATTGCTGACTTTGTTGGAATTTCTTTTGTTTTTTAAAAGGAAAATCATTCTTTTTTTTTTTAATAATCAATTAGGATGGAATGTTGTTGTTTGCTGAAAAATTTTTGATAATAAAGTGAGAATTTATCATCTTAGAGTTGTATGAAAATCGTACACACATAAATAAATTGAAAGTGGCAAAGATATTGCATGAAATTTCTTATCTTAAAAGGAAAAAAAAGTTGGAGATGTGTCCTAAGATGGTAATAGGTGTTTTGTTGTGCTTGAGTTGCTTCTAGACATTAAGTATATGGCAATTTTTGATGTTACGCATCAAAATCAAATAACAAAATTAAATTGGTACGGTCATTCTCTAGATAAAAAAGGAGATCAGGTGACCAGAAAGACCTATTACACATAGGTGGTTGATGGATATTGAATGTCGACTATTGGCATTTTGATTATCTCTTGAACATTGGATGCTAATAAGATGAGTATCGGATATCGATGGGTAATAAATATTGAGAGTTAATCATTTGAAGGCTTTGTATGACAATGAACAAGGAACAATAAAATTGAGTAACAACTTGACCAATCTTCTAATGAAAGGAAATATCAAGTGAATGAGAAAACTAATGACAAATGACAATCATTAGCTGACATGTTGAGCTAAACCAACAAGAATGTTTGGGTAACATTCAATAATTAACTTGATTGTTATTTTGATAGAATGAGGTACTAAGAGACTAAGAAGGTGAGCATATGATAACGATGAGCATCGATATCAATCAACAATTGGCATGGAGTGGTGACAACTATATGTCAATGATGATCTACAGTAGGTATTCTATAAGAGAGGTAATTGGATGTCAAGAAGATGTATTTTAAACATCTTCAAATGATGGTGATAGCAGACATTGATGTCCATTGATTCCTAATATAATGTGTTAGCGCTTTCTAGCATCAATAGTTGTTGACGTGCAACCTAAGAATATGGATGATTCGGCGCACTCACCCAACTATCTTGATTATAGTCAATTTATAACATAAATAATAAATACCCAAATATTTTGAGATCTAAAAGTTATATCAAAATTTATTTAATCAAATAATATCCAACATAAATTAAAATTTTTATAAGGTAACTTAACTAAAGATTTGAAATAGACAAAAAATAATAATGGGTACGTTTTCCGTCCGTACAAAATTAAAAAGAATAATTTAGAAATTTTTATAAACATGAAGGTATACGTTATATCCTTATTTGATCCAAAAATTCTTTTTTTTTTTTAATTATTATCAAATTGTAACAATCTCAAAAAACAATTAACAAATAAAAGGGTTGGGATTTACAATGGATGATTCGCGGACGGAACGGTTATTGAATGCGGTGTCGAACGGCACGGGCATAGGGATGAGCGGTGAGCCGACGACGCTGAGGAGGAGCTGCAGCTCGGCGGCACGGCCGGAAAGCTTCAGCAACGGCGGGGTGTCGGTGGCTTTGTCGAAGGCTTGCGACTTGAGCCAAGCGTAGCGATTGTCTTGGCCGGTCGACGACGACGACGATCCTCCCTTCGCACATCCGCCGCCGCCTCCCTTCCAGTTGGGAAACATCTCCTCCGGTAAAGGAATCTCGAGGACGGTGTCAAGGGCATCTTCTCGCTCTAGATTTGCGCAAAGCTTCCTCATATGTAGAGAGGAAATAGATCGATCGATCGTCGGAGATGATAGTATAAATATAGGGATAAATTTTTAGAAGGTTACTGTTTTAATAGACGAAACACGTCACTTTCGGTTTTTTTAAACTATTTATTTTTGGAAAAATTTTAAGACTAAGCATGATTATAAATTATATTAAGAGCTTAAGCATGTTTAAAAAAAAATTAAAAAATAGGCAAAGTCTCCCGTTAAACGGGCGACTTATGCTTTGACTAGAATAGTCAAGATCCGACGTGGTGATGATGTGGCGAGATCTGAGATTAAATCTCCCGTTTAACGGGTGATTTATAAGTCGCCCATTTAACGGGCGACTTTATGCTAATACTTTAATTCCCAAAATCCTTCCCGATCTCATTTCCTTCACTTTCCCCTTCTGCAGCCGTTGCCATCGGAAAGTTCGGAGTCGCCGATCTCACCGCCAACTGTTTAGGTAATGTTTTATTTTTAATATTTACGGTTGATGATGTTTAGTATTTGAGGTGTTGTACAAATTTGGTTAAAAATGATCCTATTTGAGTCTTTTTAGTTTATTTCTCAATTTTTTTGGTAGATCTATTAGTTTGTCTAATTTTGATGGAGTTAGTTGTAATATTGTTTGACAGAACTAGAGATAAGTTGATATAGAACATAGATTTTGTTAAAACTTGGTAGATCTAACGAATTAGTCTTTGTATATTGCTATAAATTGAAAAGCTATATTTTTGTTAATATATAATGATTCTTTATTTAATTTATAATTCTTTAAAATAATTTTTATAAGAGATAAATTGTAATGAAGTCTTTTCATACTTGTAAAATTCAATGAATTTTAATTATATTTTAGCAGTCTTTAGAATAATTAAAATATTAAGTATTTTGTAATTTGTTCATTTTGCATAGTGATACGTACGAGTTCAATAATGAATGGACGTGGTGCGACCTTTGTGCTTATGTATAATTAAAAGTGGACACCAATTTCACTCCAAGCTATTTTGGGGGTAGGAATCGACCCCTACATGTGCCAAGAAATTGCAACTTAGAACAGCTTAAGTTTAGGATACTTAGAGCACTGAAGTACGATCCTTCAAAGTATTCTGTAAAGTTAGTATGTCGCGTGCCTGTTAGAAATGAGTATGTCGCTTCGGAAGTTAAGGATGATGAAGTTTGTGAAGTTCTGTTATGCCAAGCTGCAACAGAATTTCTTATAATGTACGTTGATGTCGAAGAGATTGAGGTGTTAGGAGATAATACTAACCCTCTAAATTTCATGGATGTTGTTGCTTCTGCAATGCCGCAAACGGTATATAGAATTCAAAGCTCACAGGCCAATAGATTTCAAAGACTATTTTGGGCATTTGGTCCTTCTGTTACTGGATGGATGTATTGTCGGCCAGTTCTTAGTCTTGATGGCACATTCCTTCTCGATAAATATCGAGGTACATTATTAACTGCGATTGGATTGGATGCTAATAATGGGCTTTTTCCTCTTGCATTCGCTATTGTTGAGTCCGAGTGTACTAAATCTTAGATATGGTTTCTTCGGCAACTAAGTGAGCTACTACCGAATGTGATAAATAGGTAAAATCTATGTATAATCTCAGACAGACATGCAGGTTTAGTAAGAGGTTGTAGGGAAATTTTCCCCAATGCAGCTCATCGTCACTGCTTACGGCATCTACGAGAGAATTTCAAGAAAGCAATACGTCAGATGGGGATAAGTGATGAAGAATTTCTATGTCAAAAAATGTATACAGCAGGCAATACTGATGAGCCACGTGTCTATCACAGATGCATGGAAGATATAAAAAAATCAAGCAAGATAAGAATTTCAAGAAAGCAATACGTCATTCAGTTGGTCAAAACAGAGCCACTTGCCCAATAAGACTTGGTCGTAGAAACTAGTGTTCATTTGTTTGTCGTAGTAGAAGTGATTGTATGTGTGTATTTGATCTATTATATGGTTGATGTAACTTAAACATTTGCTGAACTCCTGCTATGAACAACTACTACTTATGTGATAATTTTGCATAACTTGTTGAATTTTTTTTAGATGGTAAAAATTGATCATAATTTATTTTTTTTTAATGATAGGGGTTTAACGGGTGACTTACTAAATAATTTTTTTTTAAATTATATGAGTAAGTCGCCCGTTAAACGAGCGACTTGCTATTATCATCATTTTAACCTCCTCTGCTCGCTCAGCATAATAGACAAATGACTCAGCTAATCCTAGTCAGCATAAGTCGCCCGTTTTGCCTATTTTTAAATTTTTTTTTAACATGCTTAAGCTCTTAATATAATTTATAATCATGCTTAGTCTTAAATTTTTCCCTTTATTTTTTCATGCACAGGCCGGTTTCTCTCACATTTTTCCGGCTCTCTCCGCTCTTTATCCACGTCTCTCTCTCTCTCTCTCTCTCTCTCTCTCTCTCTCACTCTCTCTCGTATTTCAGAATATTATTTTACGTGTAAATTAATGGTAAATAAGTTTTAAGGGGATTTACTACTTATAAATTTAAACTCTTGTATCTAACATCTAACATCTTAAAATTTATTATTTACTTATCTAATACATAAATCTTTTAAAACATAAAAATCACATGTTACAAACCAATCTGATATAACCTACATACAAAACAGTCTTATTGTGATGCCCCGGAATCTAAATTAGAAGAATTATTTATTTTTCTTTTAATAAATAACAATCAGAACTATATAATATTATATATCAATAATAAACAATAATACATATTCTATAATTTAAAACAACAATATACACATCTATATTTATTCC